GGGCCGAGAGCCGTAGGAGACATGAGCACCGGGGGAATTGGAGCCTGGTAAACACTGGGGGCTGCCTTCCCTGCCAGGAGCATTTAGTTTGCCCATGGTCTAGGATCATCTTTAAGGGAATAAAACCCAGAAGGCTGTTGTTGATGTATATGTAAGTTTTAAGAACACGTATTTAATCTCACTTACACGTAATCTGTGTCTTAGGGGAACACAATGGAAATGTGTTGGCAAGTCTAGAACTAGGTTAAGGCAGTAACTAAAAACACTTCTTGGTTTATGTTTCTGTGCTATGTTTTATCTTTATCCAATGTGAACACCAAAGAATATTTAAGAGACAGTATCCAGTGATTTCGTGATGGCACGATCTGCTCTTGCTTTTTACAGGGATAGACTCTCTGCTAGTGACATGCTTCAAGTCCGGAAAGTAATGGAACATGTTTATGAGAAAATCATCAACTTGGATAATGAGTCACAAACCACTAGCTCTTCTAATAATGAAAAACCAGGAGAACAGGAAAAAGAAGAGGATATTGCTGTGTTGGCAGAGGAGAAAATTGAACTTTTGTGCCAGGACCAGGTAAGTGCACTTGAGGACCATAGCCCTGTTTTTTCCAGTGCTGATGCTCAGAAAGTTACATGTGGTGTGATTATGGTTCCCATGTCTGTTACCTTTGGGAGTGCTGGGTCTCTCCCACCTGTTGGTGAGGCCCTTTCTGGAGGGGCCCGCAGCCAACCCTAAAGTTTCTATTTATCCCAGTGAGGTTCTCGGGAAAAGGACATGGAGATTGAAATGCACACACAAATGGTGAATGTGTGGTGGCTTTTTTTTTCCCCCCAAGAAAAAGACACATGATCGCCTTGATCGGCAGAGCAGTATCTGCCGTGTTGGTGTAGGATGTGAAGCAGAGGTGGGTGGAGCATTGGGGGAACTGTTTTAGATAAAGATGCACTCGAGGCATTTCCTCAGAGGGACGGCCGAAGTTGGGATCTCTGGTCTAGCCGCACCAGCCGCCCGTCTCTCAGTGCCCACGTTCGCGTCTGCGTGCGTGGGGTCTCTGCCAGCAAGAGCAGGCCACCAGGTGCGGGTGGGAGGACGAGCTAGATCGCCTGATGAGCGTCCTTAAGTTCGCAGTAAAGGTCTTGGATATTACCAAGTAGAGGCTTTGACATTGTTTATTATTTATTTTTTGCTGTTCAGGTTTTAGATCCAAACATGGACCTCCGAACAGTGAAGCACTTCATATGGAAGAGTGGTGGCGACCTCACCCTCCATTACCGTCAGAAGTCCACGTGAGGGGTGGGCGAGCGCTCCTGGGTATTCATTTACTGACCTTCCTCTATGGCCCCGAGAGTAGTCCTAGGAAGCCCACCGAGCCCCAACGGGAGCAAGACTTCTAATGGCCGATTTGGTATGGACAGGGATTCTCTTTCAGTTGAAATGACTAATTGCAATGTAAAATAGAAACGTCTCCACGTGTAGATTAAGCTGTCCCCAGGGAGGCAGAGAATGCGAGAACACCCCGCAAGCACACTGTGTCTTGTGAGATGTACAGAGAACGGACGGCAGGCCAGCAGACTTGGCTTCCTCCTTTCGTTTCAAAGGACCTTATCTTCATTAGCACTTGTTAGAGACACATAGGTAGAGCCACATCTGTCACTGTGTTTCAGCTTCAAACCCACATGCTCTGTAGCTTTTCTAAGAGAGTACATTCCATTCATGCAGCACCTATGAAGGCTTTTTCCAAGTCGGTCATTAAAAACAAACAAGTTGTTCTCACATTTAAGACAGTTGTTTTTAATAGGAATTTGCTCTTGTACAATTCCAGAGCCAGCCCATTTCATAATAAATTATCCTTGTTGGGCTTGTTTTAATATTGCATCTCAGATGCATTCTTTTAGGAAGACCTGTAGAAATTCTGGGTGCTGGACCATAGCACTTGGACCACCAGACTGGAGTACGCCCAGCAGTGCCCAGGGCTGCCGCACCCCCACAGTGCCCCCAGCTGTGCGGCAGCCACGGGCAGGTGCAGCGCCTTCCCTGCCCCACCGTGTCCAGCTTTGTCAAGGGGCCAAGCCACGTGATGCCACAGGTTTGCGCTCTGGGTGAGCAGTGCAACACCATCGCAACTTAAGACCACGAGGAGATACTCGCTTCATTTAAATGCTACCTAAAATGTACGGTGTCAGAGAAAAAAGGATATCCTAGTGAGTTAACTTGATATTCACATCCTGGAAGTATACACACTTGTTTTCTCCAGAGTTTTATATGCAGGTTTTTGTCGTGGTACCTGTATCCAGAGCTCTTTTCGTTGTTCTTTCTAACAATCTGAAGCTTTCATAGAATCATTTGATTCTTGTACAGAATATAACTTATTGGGGATAAACACTTCAACTTTTGGCAGGAAAAAAAATACTTTGGATTCTCCCCAAGGTCATTTGTATTCAGAATAGAACAATGGTCCACCGCCGTAAAACTACGTTAAGACAAGCCTCCTGTAGGAAGCCAAGAGCACAAGTGCCTTCAGAGGGCAGTTTATTCCAGTCCAGTTGCCTCCCCAGCTCGCGTGCGGTCTGTCCCCACAACTGCAGGGACTGGGAAGGAGTGGGGAAGGTTTTTTCTTTTCTACATCTTCACAGGTTCAGCTGGAGGCGGCTGTTGGGCCTGGGTCCAGACCTTTCTATTTGAGATATTCTTACCTGCACAACTGTAGAGACAGGGTTCCCTCACTGCTGGTCAGCCTCCTTTGGAAAGTGGACAGGTCACTGCCTCCAGCACTTGGAAGAAGTGAGCAAAGATGTGCCACATTTCCGATGAGTCTTTCCCCCTTACACAGAGAGCAACCGGCTTCTTTTTTTAAAAATCCTTTCTATCTGTTGGATACAACAGTGCACTTTTGGTGCACATTTTTTAGCAATAGTTGTGAATTAATGGCAAAAACAAAAAACATCCTACAACTCACTTATCAGCCCTCCGCTGTGTTTGTAGGAGGGGCCCTTGGGCTAAAGAATGCGTTTTGTTGGGCCATTTTGCCCTGTGTGCCGAGCCTTGAGGGGCGGCTGCGCTCCCTTCCTGTCATAGATCTGACCCTCAGCATGCTTCTCTTCTTTTCCCTTCCAGTCAAACCAGTAACAGTTTCCAGAAAATTTGACAGTCTGCAATGCCAAAAGGGTAAAAATCTGTATTTCACAGTTGTATAGAATAAAGGCTTTAGTTACAATATTTCAAAGTGTAGTACATCTTTATTTCTTTCACTTGTCATTTTCCTTCATAGCAGATTACAGAGAAATTCTGGTTCCATGTTTACCCGGGCAGTCATTAGCATCAGTACCCATTTTATCCCCCTGGTTAAGGGCAGGGAGTGTGTCAAAATGAGGGAGGGAAGAGCCAGAATCCTGGGGTGAGGGTGACTTTGGGCCAGACTACCAGGCTGCAGTTCAGGGAAGCTGGCCTCAGAAGAATCCTGTGGTGATTCATTTCTACTTCCTAGATCCCTACAGGCGCACACTGGGCTCCCAGACAATCCCAGAACCCAGCTCCAGCCCTGGCTTCGGACACAATGCCTCCTGGTTCGGCAGGCTTATCAGCTGCCATGGTAGGCTTGATGAGGCCTTGCTTCAAATTGCAGTCACAGTGCTAGAAATTTGAAGTGTTTGCTAATTGGGGGCCCTCCCTGCATATACTTGGTCTGTGCACCCCAGAGCAGACAGTCCTTGTCCTATGGGCCTAACAGAACTCTGAATGCTGTTAAGTGCACACGTTACAGGTCGAGCAGCAAAGGTGGGACTTTCAACTGGGTAGCAGCTAGAAGACAAGGCCAGAGGCGGCTTTCGTGGCAATCAGCAAGAAGTGGGCAGGTGAGGGACTTCAGGGCATGAGGAGCTGTTCCTGCACGGAGCCCTCCTCCTCCTCCTGCAGGAACCAGGGAGAGCAGAAGACCTGGCCTAGTCCTAGCCTCTCCGGGTACCTGGGGTGGAGGGAACAGCCTCCTTCTATACTCTGGGAAAGAACGGAAGGCCCCTACCCACTCTTGTCCAGGCCCCTTGTTCCCCCTTAGGGTGGGAGCTGTGTGTAAAGAGATCCAGTCAGGACTGGCTTTGAGAGTCTGCTTAGGATGGTGAGCTTAAATTTGCCATTTGTATTCACCACTGGGGCTGCCTGGATGCCTTTTGTATCTATTTAGAAGAGATGGCTGTAGAAGTTGGGGAGCTGACAGGAGTCATCCCTAGGGATATTGGGTCTGTGGGGTGTAGGCCCTGGGGAAGAAGAAACATCGTGGTCCAAGGACAAGTGAGCCTCTGCTGACGGGCCTGGAATTTCCAACCCTCCTCTCCCAGGAGAGGGGGACGAGGTCACTGCTTCTGTCCTCCGGCTGTGACTGGCTGACGTCAGCCAGCCGGAGCCAACTGTGCAGGGTAGCATAGAGACTGAGGGCGCAGGACAGAGGGGGTGGTAATCGGGAGTTCCCAAGGGCTAGCTGAGCTGCGCAAGAATCAAGGCACACCCTGCCAAGTGTTAGGCGAACACTCCAGACCTGTCCCTTCCTCCTTCACTCCATCTGCACACACGGCCCTGTGTGGACCCTGCTGCCTCCTGGGCAGCCACAGTGACCAGAGCAGGAGCAAGCACTGGACTCAAGGGTACGTGGCCAATAGATGCCCTTCCCCAAGGCCCACGGCCACCTCTCCCTACCCACTGAGGCTCTGTGCCCCACCCAAGCAGCAGAGTCCTTTCCTCTCCTACCCCAGCTCTTGTAAAACTTAATCTGGGTGCTGCTCCCAGCCTCCCACCACCCCAAAAGGATTTGAGACTCTCAAACAAGTGGCCGATTCCCCAAAGCCAGGACCATCAGGCACAATTAACGCTGGGAGGTCATCTCTTGGACACCAGTAGGGTCTATGTGGACACACAAGCCCCCCACCCCTACCCCACAGCCGCAGAAGTCCCTGCACATCCTGGGAGCCATCGCCTAGGAAGCTGCACGCTGGGCCGGGATCAGGCAAGGGGCTGGGCTATGGAGTGTGGCCTGAGCTGCTTCCGCACATCTAGGCCTCATGAAATGCCATCAGGGGCCTCGACACAGCCAAGGGCGTTATTCGGGGGTGGAGACCTGGGTCTGGCTGGCTGCCTCCTCAGCCTCTGCCTCGAAATCTGGGCTCTCTGTGCTTGCCGGCTCCTCAGCCTGCGCTTCGAGCAGCTCAGCAGACAGCCCGTCTTCTGGTGAGGCTGCAGAGGTGAGGCTGTCGGGAAGGGTTAGCTGAGGCAGGTGGTCTGGCTGGGCCTGGGTGCCTGGGCTATCCGGGAAGGAGACCTCAAACTCTGATCCGGACCATGTGGCCTCACCTGAAACATAGAGGGAGGGGCTGAGGAGGCCTGCAGAACCCCGGGCTGGCGTGGCCTCGGACAGCCACCACTGACCGCCCCCCCCCCACTCCCACCCCAGGCACTGATGGGGAAAGGGAGCTTTTGGCTGTGTTTCACCCAAAGCCAGCCTCCCACCCAGCCGAGCAACTCAGCGCCGCCTTGCCAACAATGCAGGGTCCCTCCTGGAAAGCTTCCGCAGGTGTGGGCCACTCACCGCCACGCTCGTGAGAACCGCAGCTGGAGACGTCCTCGGGCCCGGAGGCTGAGTGAGCTGTGCGGGTCAGCTCTGTGGCCGAGGGCAGGCTGGGCCGGACACCGGCACTGCTGCTCTCCGAGAGGGAGAGACCCGACACGGCCAGGAAGCCTAGAGGAACGGTGCAAGTCTTCGCCAGCACAAAACCCGGACTCCTGGAGGGCCCATACCCTGGGCTCACTCAGCCCTGTTCCTAGGGCGCCTGGCCGGCCTGAAACTGCAATCTGAGCCCATGGGGGCGCCCCCGCCCAACCCCAAAGTGCTCCCCACTGCCTGCTGCTGAGGAAAGGGAACAGCACAGTGGCAGAGGGCCCGGACCCTGCTCTGTCCCCACTCTGCTGCATGACCTTGAGCAGGCTGCTTCCCTTCTGTGGATTGCAGTCCCCGCCCCCCATTCAGCACGCCGGACCAGCTCATCTGCGACCATCTGGGCATGTATGAGCTAGGAGGCGGCAGCAGGTCTGAGGAAGGTTTGGCGCTGCCACAGAAGCCTCACCCTCAACCTGGGGCCCACTTCAGCACCTTAGCCTCCTCTCCAGAGCCCGCTCACTACCTGGGTCCATGACGCGCTGCACTGGAGGGGGAGGCTGAAGAGGAATCTCCATGGGACGTGGGAATCCCCCAAGGTCTGCAGCACCATGGCTGGGACTCCCAGGCTCAGAAAGCTGTCCCTCCATGAAGGAGCCAGGTGCCTGCAGCAGAGCCTACGGGGGCCAGGGAAGAAGGAGGGAACAGGGCAGGGGCAGTCAGGACAGAGTAGTCCAACCCCGGCCCACACTGGCCACGGAAGCACCGCTCTGTGTGACGGAGCAAATAGCCGTGGGGACCTGCCCTTCCCCTAAAGGGGATCTAAAGTCGGGCACAAGAGGCCTCTGGATGCCCAGCCCCTGGCCCAGCATTACCACAGACTCACTGAGGCACAGCACAAGGCTCTGCGCACCCGAGCCTCCGTTTCCCACTCATGAAAGGAAAATGACAACTAGTGCCTTGCCATTACCCTCACCTCCAGACCCAAGTGGCGGGAAGACCAAAGTGGGCTTCACTGTCCCAGGATGGGACCACCTGCTTCCGCTGGGTCCCAGAAGCAAGAAAAGCCTCCCAACGGCTCCACAAATGGGCCCCTGGTGACAGCAGCTTTGAGTCCTCTTTTCCCAGGTGCCAGGCCCCTTTGCCCGTATGTAGCTCCCCCTTCACCTCACTGGCAGATGCTCCCCTCGTACCTCCATGTAGTCATCCTGCCTGGAGCCTATTTCTGGGCCAGGAGGGGCAGGAGAGTCCTGGGGGGTGGGTCCAGGTGGCGGGACATCAGGAGGCAGGGCATCAGGTGGCGGGGCACCAGGTGGCGGGGCATCAAGTGGCTTCTTGTGGTGGCTGGGAGGCTGGGTTGGGATCCGGTGCAGATACCCGTAGCCAATACCACAGCCCAGACTGCCGAAGTCCAGAAACATTCAATCCAGGGGATTGTCCCATAGCCCTTCCTAGACCTGCGAACCCCACCCACTCCTGGCCGTGAGGGGCAGAAAGGGTGCCTCCTGGACCAGTGGTCATCCTCAGGCTCCCTGGACCCAGAGCCCTCCCTTCGCCACCCCACCATGGGATTTGGAGCGTCCATGTCCAGAGGCCAGATCCAGCCAGGGCTCTACTGGGCCCCCACCCCGCCGCCCTCCAACTGAGGAAGTACCTGCCCTCTCCACCCCAGGCTGCGTTGGGAGTTACAGTCACCTCCCGGCAGGAGTCGGACTCGGAGTTGTAAACCATCAGCTTCAAGGGCTTCCCCTCGTGGGACTCGATGAGTGTAAAGAAGTCCTCGGACTACAACAAAGCCAGCGCCTCAGCCCCGCTCCCAGCACTGGAACTGGAGGCCTCGACAAAACGAGGCCCTTCTCATGGACAGCACCCATCTCCACACCCTATCCGGGGGGGCATGGGGAGGGCAAACCAAAGGTTGCTCACCTCCTGGAGGATCTGGTCTGACCCAACCACATAGTCTGTGTAGGGGCGCAGGCCAGCAAGGGAGGCAGGTGAAGAAGGTTCCACGTCCTGGGGAAAGAATCACCAACTACCCGTCTTGCTCCTCGAGTTGGGGATTGCGGGGGGCGGGTGCTTGGAGGGGGCTGCCTCTCTAGGTACTGAGCGGGACACTTGTCCTTGGGCTCCAGGTCAGGACCTCAAGCCCATACTCCTACTCCACTCCCTCATTTCCCGACCTCCCGCATGTGCACAGCCTGCCCAGCAGAGGGCAGCACTACGGCACCGCTCACAGCCCTGAGCTCCGGAATCTGACCTGGGTTAAATCCTGATTCCACCAACCTCTAGCCTGTAACTGTGGACAAATACTTAACCCCCTAGCGTCAGTTTCCCCAAAATTAAAAGGAGGATATGCAGTACTTCCTCATAGGGTTGCTGAGAAGATTAAAAATAGAATATAGGTAAAGAATGAAAACCACAGGTTGGCCCCACAGTAAGTCCCAATTGCTGTGCTGTTACTGGGGCAGGCATATAGCTGGAGGCAGGGGCAGTGAGCAGAACTGGGTACAAGGATCATTTCCTCCCTTGGGAAACTCTACCACTCCCAATCTCCCAGTCTCCCCGAGAAATGCAAAGGGATTTGCCTCATCACCCCCATTGCACTCATGGACAAACCAAGGAAGGCTGAAAGGTTGAGAAGTCTCCCACGAGAAGTCAGTGAGCAATAAAGGAGGCTAGAAATCAAACCAGTCCATTTCCAGCTCAGGGCACCCTCCTTCCACCAAGCCCTGGGACCAAGCATTCAAGATTGGGGGCACCATCAAAGAATGTACGTGTCGTGTGTGTGTGTGTGTGTGTGTGTGTGTGTGTGTGTGTGTGTGTGAACAGACGCTGACAGCAACATCTGTGACAACTCAATCACTGAGATTCAGGAAGACCCAGCCCCCAGGCACCCGCCAAGGCCCAAAGGGGCTCTCAGGGGACCTGCCAGAAATGACTGGATTCTGGTAATACCATAGAGCCTACCAGGAAAGACAGGATCTATAAAGACCAGCAGCAGCAGCCTTCTGGCAGTACAAGCACCCCTCCAGTAGCTGGTAGCCCACCCCTCAAAATAAGAAACCAAGGTTTAGAGGATGAGAAGGTGCCCCAAGTTGCCTGGCTAACAAGCAGGGTGCACAGTTCGGGGGATGATGAGCGGCCCTCAGGGACCCCTCTCCCAGGAGCACTGGTTGTTGGCCTTGCCCAGCTGCCCCCACACCCCACCCTTACCCCCTGGGCCGTCGGCCGCCCCCCACACCCAGCCTGTGCCCACTCACCAGCACGTGCCACACGTGCTCGCTGGCCCTGCGGAAGCTGCAGAAGCGCACACTGGCCCCCAGCAGGCCCTGGCCACCCCACATGTTGCTGGGCACCACTTCCACCTCGCGCACCTTCATGGTCTTCATGTTGAACACCTCCAGCTTCACGGGCTTCTCCACATTGGCCTTCAGCAGGGCCTTCAGAGTGTCATTCTCCTTGTTCTGCGGGGGCAGTGGGGCTGACGCCAAGGGCCCCACCTCCACCCCGGGTTGGGGCCCCTCAGACAAGTCTGCGTCTGACATGGGGAAGGGCCCAGGTGACCAGCTGCCCCAGCAGGGTCTTGTGTGGGCGTGGGCCAGGGCAGGGTCTGGGCCTCCGACCACCGCAACCCCCACCACCCCTAAGCACCACAAAACCCGCCTCCCTCAGCCCCCCGGAAAATACAACAAAGAGAACAAAGAGCCTGCTTGGTCCAGAGCACTGCAGGGCTGCCCCTCTCTGACTCTCTGAGCAGCCCCTTGGCCACCCTGACACCTCTCATGCCCCAAGAGGCAGGCCCCTTAGACCTCGTGGCCAGCTCCAAGAGCCGCCTCACTGCCCATCCACCCCAGAAAGCTCAAGAGCTGGGCACTGGGCAGGGCCCCGGTCAAGCTGAGTACAGGCCTAGAAGAAGGAGAGATGTGCTGGGCCTCCCTCCCGAAGAAAAGGGACGCAGGAGCAGGGTGGGGCCTGCTGTGGGACAGGAGACACACACACACACACACACACACACACACACACACACACACACACACACGGCAGGCAGGTAGCACGGGGAGCCTCACCAGCCTCGAGTGCCCGATGGTGATGATGAAGTCAAAGTAGGGCTCCAGGCCCGCCTGCTGGGCTGGGGAGTTCTCCTGTACCTGTCCCACAGCAGAGGCCACAGTCACGGCACCAGCCTCGTGACTCCCCAAGAAACCCCCCCTGCCCCCAATGTCAGAGACTGTCCATCACTACTTCCGCTGTCCCAGCAAGGACCCGGGCGGGCACTGCACGACTGTTCCAGGCAGGCCCCACATGGGCATTGTCAGGGTAGCTCCATCCTTGGCAAGACCATCCTCTTTAGGAAATGGCTCTTGTCTGATCGTGACCCACACATCATGCTTCCAGAGATGCCTCACAGAAAAGCCAGGGCAGCTCCGGGGGCTTCTAGCAGACCACACAGGCACAGGGTGGCAGAGGCCTGTGGGGAAGCTGGGGCCACTGGGAAGCTAGCAGGTTTGCCAGAAAGGTTTCGATGTGGACAGGAAGGGAGGGCCCCAGGATAGATGGAACCAGAGGTGTGCTCAGAAAGACAGAGAGGGTGGGCAGCCTGTGGCCAGACACCAGAGGGCCCCAGACCCTGTGGTGACAAATCAAGCTCAGTTGGGCAGGCGTGGGAGCTGCTGAGGAGTGTGGCTGAGGGAAGCAGACGCAAGGGACAGGGATGAGCCTGAGCTGGGGAGCCCTCTGAGAGAGAGCCCCGCGAGCAGGGCCAGAGCCCCGCGAGCAGGGCCGAATCCCCGCCTCACAGCCTAGTCTTCACTACTGTGTGGGACGGCTCCTAGCCCAAGGGGGCCTCCAACCCTGTACTCCGGAACTCACTGCTGCCCCCAAACACACAGCAACCAGGTGTCCCAGCTGGGGTAGAAATCCATCTCAAAGGCCCCATTTATGGAGCATTGCTCAAACAATGCAGCCTTTATCCCCAGGGCCGGACCCTGCTGCGGGCCCCACACCCTCAGGCCTTTGGCTGTGAGCACTTGATGTCCTGCTGGTCAGGCATCAACCCAGAGGACAGAGGGCTCACGTGGCTTCAGGTTCTGGATGCCTCCACCATGGGAAGGCCCTGTGGCTTCCGCCACCCACCAGCCCCTATAGTCTTGGATTCCCCAAGCTGAAGGGGAGCTCGCCCTGAGCCTTGGGATCCAGGCTAATTCGCCCCCTGAATTAGGACGCCCTTCTAGCTAGGTCACCACCCACTGAGCCCCTGCTTGCCACCCCCAGAAGCTGCCATGGCTTCCAACAACAGTGAGCCCAGAAACCGACTCCAGTCCCAGTTGGCCTGCGACAGGGGAGCTCTGAGCCCTGCCCCTCTCTCTTCATGGGCAAGCTGGGACAAGGTGTCTTTTGAAAGCCACTGGACAGTTACTCATGCCACTCTGCCTCCCTCTGCTCCTGAGGCCAGAGCCACCCGGCTGCCGGCCTGCTGCCCTCCTCAGTTACTCCTTGGCAGCTGCCCTCCATCATTACTGAGGTCCAGAGGCTCAGGCCTCCAATCCCGCGGCCCTCTCCCCACCCTCCGCCGTGACCTTGTCCCCTGGCTGTACTCCACTGCCCTGGCCCTGGGCCTTGCCAGCGCCCACTAGGGCTCTAGAGCAGAAATAATCTAGGCGGCTGCCACCACACCCCCCAGCTCCCGCCACAAGCGCTGCCCCATGTCCGGCTCTCCTTTGGGGGCTCCCCAGACCCTGGGACCACAGGAGCTCCCCCCCCCCACAGCCCCTCGATGCTTGTTGCTTTCACAACACTTTCCACCGAGTTCCCCATCAGGGGATTTAATGTAATTAAAGGGACAGCAGCTGACACTTGCTGAGGATTGGCTTGGTCCCAAGGGACTGCGTCACCTGCCCTACCTTGCATTTAACCCTTTTACTAGCACTGACTTCCGCAGGAGGAAAAGTACTCCATTATTCAGAAATCTGACCCCAGGAAGTCCAACCCAGAGCCTGCACAGACAGGTAACAACCATTTCCTGGGGGGACCCTCCACGCCTCTAATCTCACTGAGGGCAGGGACTTTTCCAACGTGCCTGGCACACAGTGAGAATGCCAGCATTTATAGAAGGCAGCACGCGTGCTCTTCAGTTTTTAAAAAATGTAAGTAGGTAATGTCACACTTCCGCGGAAAACATCCCGATGGCTCCACGGGGCAGAAGAAAATCCTAGATCTTTGGGGCCCAACAGGCCCCTGCAAAATCTGGCCTCATCCTGTACCGCTTGTCCTCCTCACACGGGCCACCCCACCGATGCACGCCAGCCTCATCTCCTGCTCTTCCTCAACCCAACCGGCACAACCCACCTCAGGGCCTCCCTCAGCCTAGAACGCTCTTCCCCTAAGTATCTGTACTGTCCACTCCTTCCTTCCCAGGTGTCTTGATGTGAGGCCTTTCCTGACCCCTCCATCCAAAACAGCACCCACTCATCCTCTGTACGCAAGTGCTCTACTTTCTTCTTCTCCCCAGCACTGATCACGGCCTACCATAAATTTCTATTTCGTCTGTCTCCCTTCTCTCCGCGCCAGCAACCAAGGGTAGGCCCCATAAGAGGGACGATGTCCGTTCTGTCCACTGCTTTATCTCTGGCACCCAGAACTCAGCCTGCCAGAGCACGTGCTCAAAAATACCTGCTTTTGTGGATGGAAGACCTCCAAACCCTTCACCTCTCCACTCAGCCCCTCTCCCACATTCCCCCGCACTGCCCCACCTCTCCCTCTTGCCAAGTCCTCAATTTCTTTGCTTGCCATCAACCTGCTGGAAGATTCTCCTGATGGGATGCATTCCACTGTCCGCCTTTTATGTCAGGTGCCTCACCGTGATGCCAACCAGAGAAAGCCCATCGCCGAACACGGGTCCTGTCAACTCTGGGCCCTGAAGCCAACCTGGCTTTCCTTTTAGGAACCCCCTCCTTTAGCCTTCCCGTCAGCAGCCAGGCACCAAGCTGACCAGCTTGCCGCCCTACACTCGGATCTGCAATCCATCCACGGTGACCATGGAAGAACACGAGGTCCTTCCTCGCTGCCCTGTGGGTTCGGAGACCCTCCTGCCCCTCTCACCTCTTTCTCCACAGTACACAAAGCCACCCCAACTCTCCATCTGGCTGCGGGCCCTCTCCTCACCTTCACACTCTAGGAACCCCGCTCCGTCTCCACTTTGCCCAGAACTGCTTGTCCAGACCTCCTGGCCCCTCCCCTGCTGCCAACGCTCGCCACCGCCGTGCCTTCTGCGGCATTCTCCTGGCTCTCCCGCTGAGGCTCTCCCTCGAGAGTTGGCACTGCTCCTCGAGCCCCGGACCGGAGGCCTGTCCGACGCCAAGACGGCGGGATGCGCGCCGGCAGGCTCCTTGGCAGTCGGCGTCCACTTGGCCACCCCGACTTCATGGACCCGAGGGCGGGGAGCTAGGGTCTCGGCCTTGCTGGCTCTCTCCCCAGGCCCAGCAAGGAAGAGATCACAAATACGACCTAAGTGCACAAGTGCGTCCCGGCTGGACCTGGAGTAATCTTCACCCGGGAGAAGTGCCATTCCGGGCGGCCCGACCGGACCAGGAAACGCTCCCGCTTCCTGCATGGCTGGCACTCGGGGCCGGCGCCCGGCCGACGGCGGCCGCAGACCGGCCGGGGGCCAAAGAGCCGCGGCACCGCCTCCCGCGGGCGGCTCCCACCCGGAAGGAGGCACACCCCCCACCGGGAAGGAGGCACACCCCCCCCTCCACCGGGAAGGAGGCACACCCCGGCCGCTCGGGGGACCGGGACCCCGCCGCTAACGCCCTCGAGCCGGCGATCAGACGTCCCCTCGCGTCCGTGCGGGCGTCCCGCCAAGGTCGCCGGCGCGGCGGGGGTGACTCACCCCGTGCAGGTGGAAGCCCTCGGCGCCGCCCGCGGGCTGCTCGGCGCTGGCGCCCAGACCCATGGCGGCGGCCCGGCGGCGCAGCCCGTGTCCCGTACCGCAGTGCCCGCCCCGCCGCCCAACCTGGCGCCACCAGCGCATACTCGCCCTCTCGGCGCTCGATTGCCGGCGCCTTGTCACGTGGGCGCCTGCCTCTCCCACCCCTGACTCTGACGCTCTTAGCAACCGGCCCTTACCTCCGTCTCCAAGGACGCGCGCCTCCAACTTCCGGCCGCGAGAGGCGTGCCCAGGACCCTGACTCGGGAATCCAGCTCCGCGCGGCCCCACCAGACCCGGACTCGGAGCCGCGGGCGCCTGGAGATGAGCTGCGATGACTCCTCCCTTATGGTGCGTGGTCGGAGTGCGGCCAAGCCGCTCCCTCCGGGACTCTCCGTCCCTGGCCCCGAGACCCCCACGCCCCGCTGCTCTCCTGTCACCTCTCCGACCGCTCCTGCTGTCCCCTTTACCCGCTTTTCGCTGTCCCCGGCCGGCCGCTAATGAAGAGCCTGGCCCCCTCTGGCGTCACTGTTTCCGGCGAGCGCATCTTTCTCCTCTGGTGTTCTCCGTGGGCCCTGAGCTCCAAATCAGCATTCCCACCCAGTCTTGTCCTCGAGCTCCCCCCGACCGGCGTATCCAAAACCTATCTCTACCATCTTGCCAACATCTCCCCCTCCCCCGCCTCTGCCTCTTCTGCGTCCCCCACCTCAGTAGACGGCACCACTGTTTGATCCTACAGCCTTCACTCTTCCCCATTCCCACCTCGGGTCCTGTCTATCAGCAGGAAATGTCAGCTCCTACAAGTGACCTGACAGAACCCACTGCTTTGTATCTCCTAGCCCACGATTACCACCATCTCTCCCCAGGCACCTGAAACACTACCCGCCCCCCACACACACCCAAAGAGTTCTCTGCTTCAGCTCTCTCTTCACCAGCAGTCCCCACACCACCACCACTCACACACACACACATCAGAACACATCCCTCCTCCTGCTTAAAACCATTCCAACTGCTTCCTATTACCCTGAGGGTGATGTCTGGGCTCTTTCATATGGCCCACAAGACTGTTTACAACCCAACCACATCTCCTTCCCAACCCCAGCACCCACAAACCTTAAGGGAAGTGAGACTTAGAAATCTCAGCGCCTGTTACTGCATGACCTTTGTCAAGGCATCGTCTCCACAGGCTTCAGCTTTTTTAACTGTGAAGGATATGGAGAGAATAATGCATAAGATAATGGGTGTAAAGCCCTCGATGCGGTTCCCAACAAGTGTTTCACCCACAGTAACTTACAACTCTAACTGGTGGTGTACCCATTCTCATTATTGGCCCTCTCTCTTTCCCCTTAGTCCCTTCCTAAGACAAAGCCTAAGCTGAATCCTTCATCATATCTGACCCAGAATCTGTGGACAATTCCCAAACACGTCCAAGCTTCTCCTTCCTGGGGAACTGCAATGGAGCTACTCCTGGGGCTGGTGAAGAACAAAATGAGGCCCAAATGTTCTCTTTCCCGCCTTCCTTTTGCAGAACGGAGGAGGCGCAGGGAATAGGGGAGAAAGTGGGTGGGAACAGAGAGAAGGGACTGGGGCTCTTGCCACTGTGTCTTCCTCTCCACAGGCTGGGATCATTTACTATAGCCAAGAACAGTACTTCCACCACGTGCAGCAGGCCGCGGCCTTGGGCCTGGAAAAATTCAGCAATGACCCAGTCCTACAGTTCTTTAAAACCTACGGGATCCTCAGGGAAGGTAAGGACTTGCCAGTGTTGGCCTCCTGACCTCAGACACTAGCCCAGCACTGACACTCTGGCTCTACCTGGAATGCCTCCTTGTACCCCAGCCATGTGCCCAAGGGAAGAGTCTCATACTCAGTAGCTAGGTTCCCAGGTTAATCCACACATGGCTCTGTAAGACATACCTAGTCGACTTTTGAGACATCAGAGAGCTCTGCCCCTCAGTGTCCCTATCTGGAAAATGAGTGGGTGGGGGACATGACTGCATGCTTGTTGGATGCATCCTAGGCTTGGAAACTGGGAGCTGGTAGTGCAGGAAAGAGGAAGGGGGAGGTATGGGTAAAGGCAGGTATGGTGCCGGAGCAGGGGAGGAGCAAGCCTCCCGCAGGTGCTGACTCACTGACAGTCAGAAGGTAGTCGTGGGCTGGGGGCTGGCTGAGCTGCCCGTGGCCAACCTCAGTGGACATGGAGGGATAAGTGTAATCTGTGGCTCTTGAGCAGCTAAGCTGAGAATGCCCTGAGGTCCTTCTTCAGAACTGACCCCCCAGCCCCAAATCCCGGCCTCACAGGTGTCCCTGCGAGTACTCACAGGTACATCTGAGCTCCAAGCCCTCCAGCCCCTGGCAGCCTGGACCATGGTGTCAGCAGCCCCTCCAGGGAACTTGGGCCACTGGGGATGTTTGGATCTGTTAGCCTAATGATTCTGGGTGAAGCCAGGTGGTGCCAAGCCTTGAGTCAGCTCTGACAAGGGCTCCCATGTATCTGCCACAGAGCCTCCTGCCCTCTGGGGACATAATCATGTGGGCTCTTCTTTGCAGAGCACATCCAGGATGCCATCAGCAACCTGGAGAGCATCCGGAATCATCCAGACGTGTCCCTGTGCTCCACCATGGCCCTCATTTATGCTCACAAGTGCTCTGAAGCCATCGGTGAGTGCAGCAACGCCCAGCAAGGCCTGGCCCCGCTGGGGGAAGACAGCCCCACTCCAGAGCTGCAGCCCCCGCAGGGGTTCCCACGGGAGGTGGGTACACCAGTGCCAGCACATGCCATTGGCCTGTGAAGAGTGGCTTCTCTTCTCTCCCCGTGGGGGCCTCAAAGAAGATCCCGTGCCCAGGTCCCACTGAGTGGGAGCCACACACAAAGAGCATGACAGTGGGAGGGGGGCCTCCCTCCAGATCCCAGGAGTTGGGAAGATGCCCCGCTTTCCTTTGCCCAGACCCTGTTGAGACAAATCAAGTTGATATAAATAATATCACCCCTAATGTCCATCTCTCTAGAGTCAGGGAAAGATTCCAAGACACTACAAACAACTCTTTCCCCTCTCAGGATGGATTGTGGGCCTGAGGTAGGGGATTCCGTTTGGTCTGTCTACTCGGCAAACTGCTGGGCACAGGGGAGAAAAGATAAACCTCGGACAGCAAACCCAAGTCCCGGCGTGGGCGGCTCCTGTGGCCTGCAGGCCCCGGGCTGGCATGTGGTCTGCTGTGTGCTGAAGGAGGCTCAGAGTGGCCTCTGAGAGGCAGCTCCCGGGGCCCTCAGTGCCTCCCGCAGGACCAGGCAGCCCTCCTCCCTCTGACTCGCCCTCTTCCTCCTCTCGGATTCACAGACCGAGAAGCCATTCAGGAGCTTGAGAGCAGCCTGAAGGAAATCCGCAAGACAGCCAGCACAACGGCGCTCTACTATGGCGGCCTCTTCCTCTGGCTCGTGGGCCGCCATGACAAGGCCAAGGAGTACATCGACCGCACCCTGAAGATCTCCAGCAGCTCCAGAGAGGTACCTGCCTCAGGCATCGAGGGGACAGAGCTGTAGAAAGCAGCACCCAAACACATCCGAGTGGGGTGGCTGTTACTCCCGCGGAGCACCCTGGGACTGGGAGAGGGCCGCACCCGGGCACCAACAAGACCCCAGGTCTCATGGGAGCCCCCACCCACATTGTCTCAGGGTTTAGCCGAGTACATGCTGGGATGTGTCCAGAGTCTAATCTGCAGACAGGTTAGCCATTCTGTGGCCTGGACTGTATATTTTTTTAAATGTTTTTTAAACTTTTTTTTTTTTAAAGATTTTATTTATTTATTTGACAGAGAGAGAGACACACACAGCGAGAGAGGGAACACAGCAGGGGGAGTGGGAAAGGGAGAAGCAGGCTTTCTGCAGAGCAGGGAGCCCGATGCAGGGCTCGATCCCAGGGCCCTGGGGTCATGACCTGAGCTGAAGGCAGACGCCTAATGACTGAGCCACCCAGGCGCCCCTGTACTGCATATTTTTTAAATCTTGAATTAGTTGCCGACATTTAGAAATCAAAAGATTTTTACGTAAAAGCCCAGATTTCCTGGTTCTTTTGGAAAACTAGATGAGTTGGCTACACTGGACCTACCTTCCCTCCTTGCAGTGGTCTGCTGGATATCAGTGGTGGCCCATGCAGTAGATTCTCACACGTGGTGGATCAGGACTAATGGTAGAGTTTGAAGCCTCAATCTAGGCTCAGTCTAGTCTCCACCTCAGCAGGGGATGATCTCACCCCTCAAGGGGGTGAAAATTGGTTCCCCGAGGAGGGAGTGAGAAAAATCTTACTGTTTACGTACAGAACACAGATTTACACACTGCATAAACAGATAGTGTATCTGTGATATTAAAATGTCTTGGAGGGAGAGGAAATGATTAGGGAAAATGTCTGAAAAGGCTCCTTAGGAGGGGAGAAATGGGAAAGAGTTGAGAAACACTGGTCTAGGGCATGCGGGATGCTTCAGGGCAATGTCATCCAAGTGCCCTGTGACCTCACCTCCCAGGCCTGGCCACCCATCTGCCAGCAGAGGCTGGGTGAAGACTGGAGCAGAGCCTGCAAGCCCTGGAGCTCAGAATGGCTCCTGCTTACCCCCCAAGAAAGCATTCCCGCCTCCCACACAGTCCAGGCCCTGTGCTGGGCTAAGGCATGGAGAGAGCAGGAGAGGCTATGCCCAGTGGCCCGTGGTGGCCTCCTGACCCCAGTGTAGGGTGAACAGGCAGTGACAAGACAGGTAAGAGTATGTCAGTAGGGGCAGCAGAGCCATGGGGGTCCCAGGGAGGTCCCACCTTCAGCCTGAAGGTCATGGAAGGCCTCCGACAGGAAGGTGCCCCTAGGCTGAGTTTGAGAGACTCGAGGTAGTTAATCGGGGGAAGGGGTTTGGTTGGGAGTGTTGTGTGGGGACAGAAGCAAGCAGAACCAAGTCCTGGCAGTGGGAGGGAGCAGGGCTGCCCTGGGGTCTGCAAGTAGGTGCGCCTAGCGGGGCCTCGGGGTGCAGAGTGACAGGGGTGGGACACGAGGGGGGAGAGCAGGCTGGGCCAGGGCTCTGCAAGACCAAGGACTTCATCTTCTGTCTTGTTCTGATCCCAGAGCTATGTGCTCCGAGGCTGG